TAAACTACTTGTAGTGCTACTAAAGTGTCGTAGAGTAATTGAACTTCCAACGCATTTCTTACTCCCTTCTTAGTCAACAGTAATCTAGTAATTTTGATTGAGATATTTTAATATTTTCGAGCCCCATAATAATATAGACGAGTCTTACTCTACCAAAAAACTCAGCTGCTAAGATTTCGACATTTTTGGAGTTTTCACTATTTTTTGTCGAGACTGTATGTCACATTCCACCACTTCAACAGTACTCACTTTCCCTCTTTCTCTACCTTTTTGTCTGTCTGCCTCTTTTACATCTGTGAATCGCTCTTCTATACCCCACCCCTCGACTTGTTATCACTTTGATGTTCCTCCTCCCCTCTGTGAATCCCGAGGTCAACTAAAAAGCAAATGATAACTATCATAAAGCCTGTCATTTGATCTAAATAAATAAACTATGGTTTGTCATGTTTCAATCTTCCAGGAAGGCTCTTTTCGTGTTTCATAATGAAATTCGGTAACCATCCTGACTGAACTGTGTCCTCGCCTTCTACCTGAACCAGATATCTGACTTGTTGGTCATAAATGGTATCATAGTGTTTATTTTCTAACGAAAGTTCCGAAAATCGGAAACTATTAACCCTTGCAATATGATCAGTGTTTATAATTTAGACCGCTCTCTGAATGGCGCGACTGCTAACAACTCGGCAAGATTTCATTACCATGCATACACTGGAACGTCTATCTAACGCCAAAGAAGACATAAGCGATTCTTGGACACAGCTCTCCATAATTCGATGCCCTATTGGAGAATAGTTATTCCTTATTAGCTCAGAAATTTTTTCAAGCGAGTTTTTTAACTCCTATCACTTTAAACCTTTCCCCATCGCTCCTGTTTCAAGCGCATACCAATTCATCCTAATTCTGCCCTAACTTGACCTGCAGCGCTTTCTAGTCAGTTTCTACTTAAGACACCTTAACGCTGTAGCTCCACCCCCACCGTCGTTCATGAGAGGGTTTTATTCTACGTACAGAATTCAGTTTCCTGATTGACATAGTGTTCACCTTCTTATTAACAGCAGTAAGGGCTTATCGAATAGTTCCTGATACCAACTGCAGTATATAGTTAATTTTGTACAATAATCGAATTTCACCCCAATTGGAAAATCAACTTTTCGCTTTCACACCTTAAATTAGTCGTCATTGAACATTTCGATTAGTCCCCCCCCCCTCAAGTTTATGGGGAAGAAGGTGATTTCATTGGTCAACTTTATTGGATTAATTAAAATATAGTTAAAGATTACCCGTGATTTCTAGTTGTACTGCTACTGAGGGGATAAACTTGTGAGTTTTCCGGTATTTAGTAGGGCAAATTTCTTTTTGCTTTGTTAGAAAAAAAGACCTTTAAGATCTTTCATGACTTACTTCAATATTTATATTAAAGGTCAATTCATTTGTATAGTTAAACAATAACAGGAACAACTTCTGATGTTAAATTATTGTTATCGTGATATTAAGTAAGAGACAAAATGATGTTTACTAATTTCAGGGTAATATTATGGGAGGATTGTGTACAAGAATGGCAGAATTCCGCGTGAATTCGTTGTTACAGGTATGCATAGTCGTAATTTTATGCACAATTTGTACTTTCATTAAATTTATGGGGTCCATATCAAGTTCTAATTTCATTTCACAATATTCACTCCAATGTAAATTATCGTTATATCTTATTAAACGGGCTTGAATTGAATTTGTATTATAATTCACAAAATATAAATAGGCATATTACGACACAATTACTACCAACTCAGTAACAATTTTCTTTCAAATGGCAGGTTTTATGATATTTATCATTAGCCCTTAAACTTTGACTTCAGCTTTCCCCATGAGTGGGGGTACATATATAGCAGTTAATTAATAGCAATTCATTAGCTGTCTTCTTGCTTCCCAGTATCTTTGGCTTTCCGTCTTTGTCTTTAGGGCTGGACACCGAATCAGGTACGCGATAGATTTACCTCCACTTGGTGCACCCTGGGTAACGTATATTCACACGTCAAAAAGTCTATCACCCGGCATTTGACTTCTATTTGACTTCCATCTCAGTAACGTCAAATCTGCTTAATAGAATTAACACTCACACACAACTTCCTGGGTAGGGCCATTGGAAATTTTATAATAAACAGAATGATTCATTTAAGACAAAATAAACTACATTTACAATTAACGAAATTCGGAAACTTGCTAAAAGAAAGTTCCAAATAATTCAGTCTTAATTACAACATTTTTTCATTTAAAAAAATTAATAACTCTTTCATTGATCGATTCGGATTTTAATCCACCAAAAGTTCACATCTAGACTTATTAAGTAAATTTGAATTAACTTGATTTAATTAAGTCCAAACAGGATTATAGACTTGAAACGAAATCTAATTATTATATAATTTAAAGTACACTTAGTAGGAAAGCGTGATAACTTGAAAGCCTTCATTCAGGGGGAATTTGTCTAAATATAATGGAGACTATAACAACTACAATAAGGTATAAATTTTCGCAAAGGTGCATTTTAGCGCAACTAAATAGGTTAAAATTTCTTTCCCATTTTACTGTCGTAATATACCAAAGTTCGCTTTTAGGTGTTTACTACTGTGTAGCGGATTGCTACCTTAGTAAAGCCTGACTGACTCAGCCTCCTACATCTAGCTAGACTCCCAGAACCAGCTAAGAATTCTCCAACATCTAGCTAGACTCCCAGAACAAGCTAAGCTATAGTCCAGCTATAAGGGAAACTGACGTGTAGCACGAAATGCGTTTATTCGGTACGTATATTGCATATAAAGGAAACAGATGTTTAGCACGGAGCACGTTTATTCTACAGAGGATACAGACGTGTAGCACGGAACATTTATTCAGTAGCGGAAAACAGACGTGTAGCAAGGAATACGTTTATTCGATACGGGAAAACAGACGTGTAGCACGGAGCACGCTTATTCAGTACGGATTCAGACGTGTAGCACGGAGCACGTTTTTTCAGTACGGGTATCAGACGTGTAGCACGGAGCACGTCTATTCAGTGAGCATATTACGAACCAGCTAAGCTATAGCCCAGCTATAAAGGAAACAGACCGAAACTAGCTAAGCTATAGCCCAGCTATAAAGGAAACAGACGATAATTCGGAACACGTATATTCAGTCACGTAATGATCAGAAAAGTGTGCACGGAGCACGTTTATTCAGGACGTATCTTGCGGATCAAGTGACGGAGCACGTTTATTCAGGACGTATATTGCGGATCAAGTAGTGTACACGCATGGAGCTACTTATGATTAGGATGGGGGATTAGGTTAAACAGAGGTTGATGATTGGTCACTGTTTGTACAGTCGTTGCACACAGAGTTGTACGGCCGCACCTCCCAATCCTGGCGAGCAGACATTCAGGCATTCGATGACGCACACAGCGATAACGTGTCCCACAACTGGGTCTTTTTGTGAGTATTCGCACCCTCTAGCTAAATTATATTTAGTTTTTCTGTCATGCCTTCGGAGAGCAATTATTATGCCTAAAATTAGTAGGTGTCATAACTTATTGGGAGCTCAAAGAAAACTGCGGTACTTAATTTTGGAAGTTTTTTAATATTCATTTATGTCGATGATCACAAATTGTCGAACCTTCTACCCATACACCGTGAATACAGAGATCTTAATCTGATGTAGGGACATTATGAAAGTAAATTTAAATTTCAGATGATGTGCTGTCCTAGACAACCAGAGGAGAGTGAAATTAATTCCGACTTCGAAAAACCAGAAATAGATAACACTTCAACTATTGGCGGAAACTGCAGTATTGCCGGCCAGGTAAGAAAATGTAGCCTATTATCTATTTATTAAAATTCAAAATATTTAGTACTTTAGACAAAGCACATAATTTAAGTTTTCATTATCGTTCTAAACTATCTGAACCGCAATTGTCTTAATGCTTGAAATAATATTTATTATGATTTAAAATCAAAATGAGGCAAAAATTTCATGCTAATTTTTTTCGAGGTATTCCAAAAAGATACATGTTGAATAACTTAATGTAAAATCCGATTTGCATGAAGGCCGTTCCTTTGGGACATTCCATTGAATGCCCATTGCTGTATGGCGACATATATATGTATTTTCTGCATCAACTTATCCTCTAAGATCATAGATTTTTAAAAAGAAACTTTTAATTTTTCTCAGTCAGTTTATTAGGGGCAACTTCACATGGGATCATCTTCGACTTGGAACAACATGCATTTTTAGTTTCACAAGCTTTTCATAAGCCACCTAATGACTACATTTGAAATACAGTTAAGTTTGCTGTTTGGTCGGTGGCCTCAATTACAAATTAGCATTTTAAAGAAGCATTAATATATTCCATGTGATCGATCATAAACCTGGCAATAATTTTATCGCAATATATTGCGATTGGAAAAGATTTCAGAAGTTATACGTTCACTACTCTTGTGCCCCACTTGTTTCCTCAAAATAGCTATTTTGAGACATGTAAATTTTATGATTGTTTGCTTTTCATTCATTATGAATGAAACAGTTTTCAGCACTGGAAATTAAATTATAGAAATTTGTTAAATATTGTCATAAGCAGCATTGATTAAAATACTTCAAATTTGGTTAGAAAGGTAGAGGAATTTGTCTCTGGCGTTTGGCCCTTCTATTAATCAATTTGCAACTTAAATCAGAAATGCCCCGTTTTCAGTTATCAATTTTCATTCTTAATAATAATAAATTCTGTGCAATAAATGTCTGCAGAACGATTTTCTTATTAAAATAGTTATTGAACGATATCCACCATAAATATGTCAGCTTATGAAGAAAAGGACAATATATTTTATGTCAGTTTATTCTTTGCACCTTTACGCGATTTTGTTTGATAAAGAGAGTTATATTTAAAGCAACAACAAAAGACGTGATTTAATAAGAATTTATTAACTTTATTTTTAAGGTAGTCTACAATGAAGAACCACATCCAAAACAACCCAAACCAGCATCAAAGCCACAAAATAGTTTCATTTCTTCAGACTTCTAGTCATATTCTGTGTAATAACTAATCACAATAAATTCATACACTATTGAATATTTATAAAAGTGTCTGCATTAAATTGGGATTTGTGACAGTCAGTTAGTTATAAAAGTATTTTAGCGATTTTTAAAAAATTGCTTTGTCGAATGAAATTAATTCATAGCTTATAGGTCTAAACAAAAAGAGGCAAGTATTTTAAATAGAAAGGGAGGGAAATATGTAAGATGGAAACATCCATAAAATTTCTATCAAGAAGGATTAATAGGAACGGGAATCAAAGTAAGCATAGTCGACTCTTTTACACTCTACACCTACAATAATTTATTTATATCAAATGGGAGGCTTTATGATCGTTATAATTAGCCCTTTAGCAGACTTCAGGCTTCACAGAGGGAGAGGAACATCAAATCGAAAAAAAGTCGAGAGGGGAGGGTGAATAGAAGAGTGATTTAAAGATGTAAAAGAGACTGGCACAAAGGTAGAACAAAGGTGAGGTGAGTGCTGTGGAAATAGTCGAATATGGCATAGAGTGAGGTGATGATAGTTTGAAGTGAGAAGTCAGATGCCGGTTTATAGACTTTTTTGCCGTATTAGTATACGTTGCCCAGGGTGCACCACGTGGAGTTAAGTCTATAGCACACCCCAGACCTACAATAATTCTAAGCAGTTTGCAAAGAATGAAACTCTAAAATGGTAAATTCTTAATAATAGGAGGAGAGATTGAAGCAAACATTAAATAATTCGTTTGAAATAGAATGAAAATCATAGAAGGATAAAACTGTTTATATAGGAATGAAAAAAAGAAGAAGTCATCATTATTAGTTAAGATTCAGAAATAAGTAGAAAGTTATTGAAAAAATATCTCATATTATTTGCTACAGTGAACGATTAAATGAAAATTTATGTTCAAATATTAAGAATAGAGATGAGGCCAAACAGACAAAAAGGAGAACAAAGATAGGGGAAAATGCCAGAATAGGTCACCAAGGAAACAAAATTGATTATATCTATATAAAAATTTTGGAACCTGACCGTAATTGACTGATTATTCTAAGAACTTCCTAAGGACACCATGGCCGATTTCGTACCAAGAAAGCACTTTGAAAATATTTAAAAAAGTACCAAAATTATGGTTTTCACAATTCTTGGCAAATAAGAAAAAGATTTTAATTAAGAGTGGAAATGGCAACGAATTAAAGTGTATTGGTGTTATTTAGTTAACATCGTGAACGGATAAATTCACAATAATAATTTATGGAAATACAATCATTTGATAAGAAATTTTTCTTTTAGTAAAACTAACCAATTCAAATACAAATTTGAAAATAAGTAGCTTTGAATTATCTCATAAATTGGACGCATGAGATTAAATAAGCCAAAAATATTATACATAACATTTTTAAGATTACAATATTTCATTCAAGCTTATTTCATTACATGACCTTTCTGAGCATCATTCATGTAGGTCACTTCTGCTAACCTAAATGGTGCATTTATTTTTACACTTGATCATATGGTGTCTGCTTTGTATTTATGCCGATATTTGTTATTCGGTATTAACGGGCGCTTGAAAAATAAAATTCAGTTGTCTTCCATTTGTTCTTACTTGACAAAATCATCGGAAACTGCATGTAATATTGTTCCATTCCAAAATGCCCACGAGGATAATCGACTTCTGCGCAAATATAAACGAAAACTTCTCACTATATTGTGCTCTGACGAATTTAATGAAAAATTTAATCTTGTTAAAATAGCAAATGTTTGGATCCTTTCCTTTTTCTTTAGTGTTTTATCTAGATCTCTAAAATATCGGATGGTCGTGGCCTCGCTATATATTGGACATTGGATGAAAGAGCTTCTGACGAATTAATCGCCCATAAAATCGACTCCTTTCTACAAGCAAATAGTAAAATCATAAAACAAAAGCTCGAACTCGGAAATGCATATCGAAAACTCCCACATCTTGAATTTATTCGTTTATCATCAGAAGATCAGGTAAACCATCAATTTCTATAAAATAATTTAAGCAGTTGGATCATTTTAAAGACGAGATTAATTATCAATCTTGCGAGATTATTAAACCGTCCACCGTGTATGGTTTAAATTGGTTGGAATATGCTGAACGGGTTCGTGCAAAATACAAAGGAGAAAAACCCCCTCTGCTCACAAATGATGTGGAACATCTTTTTGATGAAGAGAATACTATTTCTCGGAAGTCTACCACTACAAAGTGGGCTAAGATGTGGAGAGAACAGAACAACGCTAAGCTTATTTCTCGACGCGAACGAAAGAAATCCCATAAAATGCTGGGGCTATGGAATTTAGAAAAGGAATTGGAAGAACTTGAGTAGAGACTATTTGCACACATATTGTTTGTATATATATGTATGTATGAATTACTGACATTATTGCGATGTCTTCCATCATTTGATGATTTTAAAGAATGATCCCAGTAGAGATCCTGCCATTCCGTCAATTGAATAGATTGTTTTATTTGTATATGTGCTTGCTGAGATGACCATTATACTAAGACCTTTGGAAGCGGGACATGGTTATACGGGTATGTTTAGATTTTAACATTTAGTTACTTATTGCTAAATGGCGTCTTGATGTGGTCTTGTTAATTAATTTAATTAAGTTGTACTTGATTCCGTTTCTCAATGCATTATCTGAGTAGGTCCAAACATTATACGGCCTGTATGGGATTTCTACACTAATAAACCTTGACTGGTGACCAGTACGGAAAGATCTCCTAGTGTGGGATGGCTCCCAGGTTAGCCAAGCTACTGCAGAACTATAGAGATGGTGTTATGTTGGGGATGTGTACAGACCGTTTTGTAAATGACAGGGAGCTTGGTCATTGTATAAGTCATTGTTATGACTGATTATTGATCGGTCAAGAGGCCTCTTCACTAGTGACATCATTAGCTTCTTCGCGTGATTGACATCGCTTCCGCAACGTCCCGGAATGTTTGTGCAAGAATGCGCTACATTTCTTTAGCCACGCCAAAGTCTGAATGGTCTCTTCTCAAAATATAATAATAGAATTGATAATGTAGACAAGCAAATAGGTTATTCAATCTTGGATTTAGCGCTATTTTCTTATGTATGCTTGTTGAAACTTTTTAGAAAATAACATTTCTCTTATGGAGGCGTTTGAAGGAGGCAAATTTTGGGCATTTGTATTTTTAGAGAAAGTCTTGAACATGACCGACATAGACATCAATACTCGGAGACTTTGATTGAACTGAATATGACTGCTATTGAATTACATAAAGTGTCAAATTCGTATTTCTTAAAATGATATTTCAGTATTGGTAAATCGGGGTGTGCGATAGACTTACCTCCATGTGGTGAACCCTGGGCAGCGGTGAAAGGGTCGATTAACCGGCAGTTGACTTCTGACTTCAAGCTACCATCACCGCACTGCATGTCATATTCGATTACTTCTACATTTCTCACCCCACCTATTTTTCTACCTTTGTGTCAGTCTCTTTTACATTTCTGAAACACTTTTCTGTTCCCCCCCCTCTCCATTTTTTGTCACTTTCAATTTCCTTCCACCCTGTGAAGCCTGAAGTCAACTAAAGTGTTAATGATAACTATCATAAATCCTGTCATTTGATCTAGATAAAATATTGGTAAATCGGTACTTGCTCATTTTGGTAGATTTTGAATAAAATCAAAATTCACAGATCTGCACATATGTCTCCTGAAACTGTTTAGGAAAGCACATTTATAGAATTCTACAATTGTCGCATTTCGAATATCATGAAGCGTAGCAAGTGTCGTTAATACTATATAATTCCACTCAAGTGTATTATAATTATTTGTAAAGCTTTGCAGTTTTAGCCGCCATAGCACATAGATAGGTCTTGTTTTCGTCTGAGCTTAAAGTTGAATATATTTTGGTTCCTTTGGTTTATGTGTGAATGGCCAACTAGAACCATTCACTACAATTAAATCCTTTTACTATTCAGTGGTTAGCGCCTTCGTCTACTGTATTAGGAGACACATAATGAGAGAGCAGAATAAGTGGTCACGGTGGCTAATGGAATAAACATGAATAATTCCAGCTTATTGTATGAAAGCTTAAGTTTTGAATCTCCTGATTAGTCTTACTTGTGAATCATTGTACATAAATATAAGTAAGAGTAACTTTAAAAGACCTCATTCGTTACTCAAAATTTTACAAATATTTAATACTGAAGCATAGAGACTGAAAAGTTAGAAATGGCAAGTACGATATATTTATGAGTTAATATATATTTTGACGGTTGGAAAATTTGAAAACCCCGTTTTTATTAAAGAGATTTAATTCAAATTTTGAAAATTCTCTGGAAAATGTCTTGAAATATGTATCACAAATACTAATATTACAACAAATTTAATCAATGTTTTTGTAAATGAAGCTTTGCTGCCTAAGGTCATCTGTGGGGCTAGGTCGTAATACTTTGGTAATTGTAATGAGTCTGATAGGAAATGGACCTCTATTTACACGAATATCACCATATAATTCCATAAAACGTAATAAAGTTTCGTTGGCCTTTCTTAAAAATCTCACTAAGTCCGTAAAAATCCGGATAGGCGATTGGAAAAACTTAAAGATATCACCTACTGAAAATCAAAGGCCATTAAAGTAACAATTTGTAACGTTGATTAATGCCTATATATTTAGAAATCGATATATCCCGCTCTCTAAACGCTTCCTGTTTCGAGAACTTTGTTCAGATGTTAGTGTTTTGTCTCCGACAATGAAGGAGACTTTCGAAGATGTTGCACTGTATATCGATGAAAAGATTTCTGATCAATATAGATTGTTATCCGAAGAATCAATGGTGGGTACAATTATTAGTGAAATTATTTGTTAGCTCTTATTTCAACCTTTAATGGATGCTAAAGTATCACCACCACCTGCAACTGACGCATTGGTAAAGAAACAAAGCCAATTATTGAGTCGCAAAGAACGTCTCGATAACGAGTATTGGTTTTTAAGGAAACTTGATGAAATTTCTCCTGCTGGAGGATTTTCAGAGATCTCTCAGGAGGCGCTTCATGCCGCATGTCTTCCACGACCGTCTCGTTCGTCAAACGTCAAGGTTCGTAGAACCTGATTTAACGTTGTTTTCTAAATATTATATAAATGATGTCTAAGTTGATTGTATCCATTTTTAATCTTCGTTATTATCTCGAATATTTGGTCAATACCAAATATTATTATCAAACAATGGATGAGAAGTTGAAATGAATATTTAAATATATTTGATGGGTCTTTTAAGATGTTTAAATAATGAATGAAACTATCCATTTATTTGCTAATTGAACCAAATAATTGATAAAACTACGTTATTTTATGAAAATTCATTCTTTCCCTCTTCCTGGACCTTTTATGTCTTTTTGTAGTATTTTGCCTTTTAGTACAATGTTTTAGGTTTGTTGATTAAATCCAAGTTTGTACCTTTACAATCCTTTACCCCCTTGGTTTGCATTTTTTTGTGTACTTTTTGCTCTTTAATTTCTCTCTACAGTCGGGAAGATTTAATTTCGTTATCTACTAATGGTATGTCTTACCAAGATGAAATCGAAATGCAGGAGGCGATTCTGCACCATTCTACCTATTATTTAATCATTTGTAATAGAATATCACCTATCCTGAAATACATCTCCTTGAAAGAATTAAGATATTTCTAATGATTGCAAGATGACACAGGCGGAGATATTGAGGAGGGAATCTTGCAATGAATTGAATTGACTATTTTGCACCCTTTGTTAGTTCTCTAAGCAATGAATAAAATTATCACCTGACAGTTTCGGCAAAACAGTCTATGTATGTACGAATGCGTTTTATCATTCACCAGTCTTCAGAAGTCTTACTATTTACTTTGTCGGCCTAAAACTAAATGATTAAGGCTAGTTTCATAAGTGGTAAAAATCTCTTGCTTCGGGTGAAATGCTTCATTCCATCAAGTTGAGTTTCCTCATTGGCATTTTCTTCATCTAGACCTACGTGGATCCGGCAGACTATGACGTTCTACGCGTTTGGACACGCGGTCTTCATCCCTCCAGTCTTTACCATCTCGATCGCTCGTTGAAACAGCGACCCATTGACCAGCTTTCCTCTCCTCCTCCTCCTCCTAGAGAGGGTGACAAACCTACAAAAACATTTACTAGTCGTGTTGCCTCTCTGAATCGTTGGCTGGAACGTCTGACAAGCCTTGTAGGACCGAAACCTCTCTCCTTGGTGCCATCTGATTATCTTTGCTATAACCATGTTCTTCTTGCATATCGCCTGAAGGGCGACAATTCTCTCTGTCTGAGAATGCTTAAGGTAAGTTTTATTTCCGAAATCTCATTTTACCCATGAGAGCGGGCTGGAGCTTTTATGCAATGCAGTGAAATATTAACTCGTCTAGCGTGGTTATAAGAAAAGGGGAGTAATTAAGGTTAATTGTATTGGTGGATTAGTGCAATTTAGGCCATGTGTATGTATGCATTCCGGGGCTTATTTCAACTTGGAGTTTGACAATTTGAGAGTGGCTGTCAGGACTCGGATTCATTAACTCTTGAATAGGAGATTTCATCAAAAAAGCCCGTTTCAACTGAATAGGGCTAATAAGAAATAGGAAGTACGCACATACAAACCATTTAATTTGCAATTTGGTTTGATCGGTTTAGTGTGGCTTATAATTTTTAAAGCCCATTAAGGATAGCGGTCTCTACTGCTCATCTTGAGTGGGGGGGGGGAATCATGGATCCTCCTGCATCAGACCCCCCCCCCACCACCACCACCCCAACTCTCCCACTTTGTTATTCAAAATTAGCCAATATGGTTAGCCACTGCGTTCACTCTCTTGAACCTCTGACTTCCGACGTGAAAGGCGTACATGGTGACTAGGGTGGCTTAAATATCCCTTCTAATTTCAATTTCTCATACTGAGATTGATCGAAGAAATGCATTAGGACCAATTTTTAAAATGGCTTAAAAATTTAAAAACCAAATGCAGGTGATCGTATATTGTCATGTCATGTCTTATCTGTGGAGTGCAATCTTGAGCGTGTGTTTTAAATGGAAATACATATTAAATGAAAATAAGCGTTTCAGAATAAGTCCTGATTTCTTACGACCAAAGTCTGTCTATTACTTCGCTAGTTTAACTTATTTATTCAACGTTGCCTTCTTCCTTAGAAATGGTCAACTTTTTTACCTCAAGAAACCTTATTGAAACCTCTTTTGGAGGGGGGGGGGATTTCGTTTGACCGGGTTGTTGGCGGTTCTTTCTGGCTATTTTTGTGAGTAAATTCACACAATTTATTTATTTATTTGGTAGCTAATGATAGCATTTATTTGGTATTTATGGTTATTCTGACATACCCGCAGTCGATGTGTTGATTGTTTTGCTTATTTAAATACACTTTACTGGCAAATACTTGTTAGATGGTAGGAGTGAAGCAAGAACTATTTGATTATAATCATCTCTGTCATTGTCACCTACCACCCCCCCCCCCACAGTACTTCAAAAGCACTACTAAAAGAGCTTTGATTTTAGAATGGCAACGCCAAAAAAGAGTATTAAAATAGTTTGAAATGGTATGAAATGGGGGGGGGGGGAGGATGTATCTTACTTCACCCTTGCACCCTTGTGACTCAGTGTTCTCTACATTCTCTCCAAGGGGATGCTGATCTCTCAGTGATACACCCCCTAAATGTCACATTTACGGATTTGACTCGCACTTCCCTACTCATGGCTATTTAGAGATTGAGAAGTCGGTTGATTTAGTTTTGCTAGTTGATGGAACCAGCTTGACTCATACGTATCGTCGTAGAACAAAGAGCATTGTGGTAATACTATTGAGTGTATCGCAAACATATAGTTTCACTCAAGCGGATTTACCAAATATTCCGCACTTATTTTCAGCATGTCCCGGTCTCGCCAACAGCCAGCGGAAATCTCTTCGCCGAAGGTGTTGTGGATATGCTTCCAGTACATCGATTTGTCGGTCTCTCCGAGAGCGCCCGTACCACTGTTGTTGTGGCAGGAGCTTTAGCCGGTGTTGGTCTGGTGATTCTGACACCACTGACACTCCTTCTCGCCTCAACCTCCGCGACGGCAGAGGTCGTTTTGGCTTGGAGTCTTGCTATGGCCACTACCACTGGTGCTATTGGTGCTTTAGCTGCTTTGAGGTATTGGAAAGCGCGAGCAGATTGGAGTGAACGTCTTCGCAAATTGGTAAATAGCATGCTACTCATCTAGTTTTCAGTAGTATTTCGTCACTGATATGTACCCTTGGTTTTGTTAGATCAATACAGTCAATGAAATTTAAGTTAATTAAATTGAACTTGGTAAAGGAAGTAGTCTACACTTTAAGCCCTAAGCAAAATTCTGTCAGTGGTATTAGAATGGGGTGAACCTATCACTACTTCATTGTCTGCTTGGAGGATATTAGCAGTTATAAACTCCAAAAACCTCCATTGTGTTTCTTAATGCCTTATAATACTAGAGTTGAATTGTTAATTTGATTGGTCCTGCAGACGATTAGAAGCACCGTTTACCTCTGTCCTCTAGTAAAGGCTTACCTCTGAAAAGCGTGAGCTGGAATTTTACCTATCTTATTCTTGCCAAGAACCTTTCTTCTACAAAAGATGTTTTAATTATGCTTATTTCATTGATAGTTGTGATGATTGCAGTGACAATCGGCCCTTATTTTCATTTAAGTAAACGCGCCTGCTTTAATCTTAGACACTCGTTTGTGAGTTCAATTCGGGTGGATTCGCACTAGCGCACTTCCTTGGCTTGGCACAAGCAGAACTCTTCAAATCTGCTCTTCTTGTCTACGCGCTACTCCTTCAACCATCAGAGTGTAAGTCTTGATTCGCTTGACAAATTACCAAGCAGTATGCATGAACAAGTGGGCGTGGAACGACCATTTATAACGATGGTTGTAGAATTTAGGTTTCTCACCACCGCGGGGGGAGGGGGGGGGGCTTCCACGATACCATGTCACTGCTCAAAATAAATCTCGGGGAGCACTATCCCGATCGGGCTTAGGAATTAGTATATGATCACGGGGCTTACCCATTGTAGCAGAAAGTAAATTAGAGCAATAATGGCATAAAAATCTAACGACAACAAGAAAGAGAGCTCCCAGAACCATTAAAAAGCACTCTAGTGAGGAATCGCCATCATTTCCGCAGCTCGGGACCTGAGTTGGATATATTTCTGCGTGGTAGCTTCCCTTCTGATATCCATCATACACTCCACTGTGTTGGCAGGATTGTCAGTTTAGCCAACTTCCAATTTTTCAGAAGCAGCTGGGTATAATAAGCGCAGAGGAAGTTCAAAATTTATTTATTTGAGCATAATTTGATTGTGTCAGGTGAACGTGCGATACTTGTTTGCATAAATTTCATATGGTTATTCTCGCTACAACCCTCTTCCAGGTAAATTGCCACTGAAGAGAAGTCAGTTGGAAATTCGCGCCGAATCTTGGATAGCCAAGCGTCTCTCTCCACATTCCCACATTAGTCTTCCGGCTTCCACTGAAGAATCGTCATCTTCTTTAATGAGGTAATAAACAAGTAACATCTTGAAATAATGAATAAGTTAACATAGTTTAAAACTACTATTCCTATTTTAGTCGATTGCGTCAAAATGCCGAAGGGACATTTAATGGAGGTTCGGGGCCTTACTTTGATCTTCAATTTGATGCCGGACCTGCTCTAGCAATCCTTCGTGAGATGGGATTGGTTCGTGGAAGCGATGAAGACGGTCTTGAGGTTGTTACACCCTCCGTGAAACCTCATGGTTTGAAAACGAAGAAACATCTCTCAGCCCTTCTTAGCCCCGAGTATCAAGAGGATGACTTGGGGTATCCCAAAATCCTTATTCGCCAATGATTAAATGCATGTAGAAATGACTTTGTGAATTAAAATAAAGTGAATACTACTTCTAGTTACTTAATCCCTGCGTTGTGTGATAAGTCGCGAATACAGAGTAGAAACTATATTAGGGAAAGAATATATACAAGGAGAATCTACAATACTTAGGGTTCAGGGAATTTACGAAGAACTCGGTTGATTTGAATGGATGAGAGTTTTTTTACTTCATCTGCATCGTCAGAATCAGTATTAAAGTGACCCATTTTGCGAGATTCTTTATTACGTTCACGGCGCTCATCGGCAGCTATGACACATCTTTTGAAGGAATCGATAACATGGGAGCAGGGCTTCTCCTCAAAGTCATTTGTTTTAAGACAGGTGAGCATCAAAGCCATCTCTTCAACGCATACGGCGCCTAAATAAAGGGTTGAAATAATTGTGAAATATAACTATACGAGTTTCCTTCTCGCCCTTGCCCGAAACCTTATTCTTTAGAATTGGATCTCTGTAATATTTAAATTTGAAAAGTTCTAAATTATGATGACGACTGGAGCTGCGTTTGTATAATTTGCAAAGTGCATCCGACACCTTCATTTTTGCGCTGAGATGGCCTTTCACCAAGGGAGGGTATTGGCTATTGAAAATTAACAAATTATACTTCAGTTCAGTTTCTATAAATTTATTAATTCGACCGATAACGAAATTACTGGACAGTAACATACTTCAACTTTCATTTATTTATTATTTTTGAAAATGTAATTTTAGCGACTCCACTTCATGAATTAGTGTAATGGAAACAACATTATTACGGGTGTTAATGCTTAGTCAAGTTAGGAAGCTTCATTATAATTTCCAAGGCATTAATATTTTTTTATATAATGTATGTATCTTTTAATTTAAGACAGGATTTAATTGTAATCATTATACTTTTTTGAATTATGGAAAAAATGAATTCTAGCACCAACAATATTCTCAAGTTTAATATTTTTAGTAAGTGTTATCACAAGCCAAGTTAAAATGTAATTTATGTCGGTTGTGAGAAATTTTTTCACTTTAAGTTTTGAAGCGAATGGAAGGTCTTATCATAAACTTGTGTGTTTAAAAATAGACAGAACCTGGTCCGCTTCATGACACTGAAAATAAAAAATTAATTGAAAGAATGTCTATAGATTGATACTATTCCGCTTAAATCATTTAGTACTCAGTCAAAATATGACTTAAAAATCATAGCAAGTGGGAGCAAGAATATCGAGTAATCGTATAAATGAATGCTTTTAGAGTACTTCCGTTTTACGGCAAGATCTTGCATGTTATTAAATAACAAAATAGCTTCCCCATTCCCTAGTTGAATCGAATTAGTCAAAATGGTGGCATCTTCATTCAACTCCAATACCCATTTTATATAAACTTTGATCAAGGCGTATAGCTCAAGGTTTCTAAATTTTTAATCATTTATCCTAGTTAATCACTTTATTGCTATGACATTTCCTCCTATGCTTCATGCTTGCAATGATTAATTTAAGATTTTCTGCAAATGCCAGAAGTTTTGATACAATATTGACAATATATATTAGATATTCGCACACAATTAAATAAATTAAGCAAGTTGATCATTATATCGTAAGTAAATTGAATTTTTTCCTATTTGCTAAGGCGTCAGACCAGCAATTTAATTCTTTAATTTTGCACTATCCCTCCCTCACGTAGTAAAAATTGATGCACCTAATTTCACCAGATACAGAAAATTCGCGAAATAAGCGGTTGCATTCATAAAAATAGCCAATAGCACATACAAAAACACAAGATTATTGAAATGGAATCAGAAAAAGAGGATAGTAAAAACACATCTCAATGAAATAACAAATGCACAGGAAATGGACTTCGACGCTAACAAATCCAAAATTACAAAGTTTCAGATACCATCCAAAGGAAGTATAAAGAGAATACCGCTGGCATAACAACAGCGAGACATGCCTGTAGACTCTCTGCCGTGTTCAAATATCCACCCAAACAAGTCACACAGCCCAAGAAGGAAACAGCCATTAAAACCACAGTGACGAAGGAAGGAAGACGTCTTCGATTGAGAGAGGTTTTCGAAGTAAATAGAAAAGTAACTATCAAAAGGTGGAGCAAAAGTATTAACTGTAGGATACTAGGTTGATAAAACACCATGGACTTGGTTCCAAACCTATAAGTAAAATGATATATATATATATATATATATATTAGTTAGGAAGAGATTGACCAACTCTAGAGGTAAATTTTTATAAGCCTTACCCAGCGAAATACGTTTTCACTCGGAAGAAATGTGTGATCCACTGTTCAATAGAAAGAAAACTGCAAAGTATGAACAGAAGAGCGAATCGTAGCCGTAGGGCTAGTGCGATGGGAAATTGAATGACTTGTTGAAGAGAAGTTGTAGCACTCTGAAAGAGCAAAATTAGTAATCAAATCTTTTCGGTTCATTTGTTTTTCAAATGTAAAACTCACAATATACTCTTGTCACCATTCGAATTTGTTGGTTACCTGTTTTCCCATTGGCAGATTTCACATGAGTGACGTCGTACAAGGAAATATTTGTCTATCAACTTAATAGATTCCTAAATATATTTTGACCGCAATCCTTTTATTTGATATTTACCGATTTGGGGTGTGCGATAGACTTACCTCCATGTGGTGCACCCTGAACAACGTATACTCATACGGCAAAAGTCTATCAACCGGTAGTTGACTTCTGACCTCAAACCACAATGGCCCCACTATATGTCATATTCAACCACTTCCACAGTACTCGCCTCTCTTTTTTCTCTGCCTTTGTGTCTGTCTGCCTCTTTACAACTTTGAATCTCTCTTCTGCTCCCTCTCTCGAATTTTTCTCACTTTGATGTTCACCCTCTCTGTGAAGACCGAAGTCAGCTAAAGAGCTGACGATAGCTATCAACTTCTTTTCATTTATTATTCTGTTAGAAATGAACTTTTGGCAATAAAATATCATCTAATGAAAACATTCAAACACAATTCCACCCAGAATGTTTAAGTAAATACTTTAGACACTACTCATTAATTTTCGCTTAGCAGTATAGCAGGCAAATCACACAAGCGCATTAATTGCATAGTGGATCATCAATCAATTTGTACAAACAAGGAACTTACCTTCAAAATTTGCCCGACCGAAAGTAACATGAAAGCAGCACCATCATGGATAAACCCACTGGCGCAAATAGACACTAGGATTAAGTAGAAGGAGATAAGGTTTTCTCGGCATTCCAACCTTGACCTCAGTCGATCGAATTTAGTTGATCTATTTAAAGAGGAAAAACCTTAATGAATAACGTTATTAAATAATCAGCACCCATCACCGAAGAACTTACAATTTTGATCGACTGATTTCACAAAGAGTGAGAATTAACGGTGTATGGCAATCAGCAATGTAGTAAATAAGAATTGGAATCACGACGGCATATATGCTATGCAGAAGAAAGAGTGGAGACACAATAAGAGGGGAGTGTGTTTGGGTGACCTTCAAACTTGATCCAAGGTCACCTCGAAGCTCCTTGTCAATCCATGCTGAGGTGGGAAGGAGAATGGCGAGCCACGAAGAATCATCAACGCTGATAACACAATTCAAATCAAACATAAGTAATAATAATAATAATATCTATGTAAAAGATTGAAGTAGTAATGCAATATGAATCACCTTATGCGAATAATGTGCACAAGGTAAACAGCAATTCCGACTGCATAATGAACTGCAATAACTGCTAGGACGCTTTCCTTGGTTGCTTTGAAACTTGAGCCTGTGTGGTAAAGCAAATAAATGATTAAAACATCGATTTGGAAAAGATACTCTATCTTCACAACTTGTTCGCTTCGAGTAAAAAAAGAGATTCAGTCCCAAATAAAGACACTAAATTTGAAAATGGATGAAATAGACAGCAATAATCTTGAACACAACAAATTCAAAAGTGGTATGAAAGTGCCAATCGAAAAAACACTCAAAGAAAAACAAAAGTGGTTTCTGTTTTTCGGACATTATAAAAGGTGGAAGTATGTGAATTCCACATTGAGACCGTGCGCAAAGTGTTACGTAAAAAAAAATCGCACGAACTATGAACTGAATTTTTTAGTTTTAAATTAAGAAAGCACCCTGTTGTTCGAGTTTAGTGGTTTAGGGAATATAGACGGTTTCAAGTAACACCATCATCTATAGTTTTATATAAGGACTGTACGATGAACTTGTCTCTATGTGGTGCACTCTGGGCCACGTATACTCATACAGCAAAAGAGTCTATTAACCGTCAGTTGACCTCTCACTTCAAACTACCACCATTTCACTGTATGTCATATTCGAATATTTCCACAGTACTCACCTCATCTTTTTCTACCTCTGTGTCTGCCTCTTTTACATATTTAAAACTCTATTCCGTTCCCCTCCCCTACCCTCCCTCTCGAATTTTTCACTTTGATGCTCTATCCCCTCTGTGAAGCCTGAAGTCGACCACAGGGCTAATGATAATAAAATAAATAAAAATTTATTTATAGCTATGGATTTTCGTTGCATAAACGGATTCCTCAGAAAATCTGAAAGATAAACGTCAGAAGAAATTGCGGAGAAAGGAAAGTGAAGTCATCAAAATGGCTGAGATATCTTCTCCTGAAAACCTATGACTTATCAATCAGCATTAATAGAGATTAGCGACCAGGCACTTGGGGGCTTATCTGCTGCCACTCATTTCATTCAGTTTTAAAAATCAGATACTAACCCTCCTTACCCCCCCCCCCTCCCATTTTATGCTCATCATGCCACTAATCAGTCGTTTTCAACTTCTAAGGCAAGAGTAAGACCCCTACTGTTCCCTAGCCAAATAAAAACTCACAGTCCGCTCTTCCACTTCACCCTGGTAAAGGTCAAGGCGAGCGAAGTAAGAAGTCATCACTTTATTTAACAATAACAAGTTCTCAAGCAATATGATTTGCGTGTTTATTAGAATAACTTACCTGGATCTTGATTTTGTACATCCTTTTGAACGCTGTTGAAATGATTACAATTGGTCTTCTGTGAAGACACAATGTTCGACGCAAGCAACAGGAAGACAGACAAGAGAACATGACCGACAATTAATGAGAGAGAATCAAAGAAATGTACACGAAGGACCTGAAATTCCGAAAACGGATGTTTCATACTTAAGTTTAATTTATGACCTTTTGGGCGTCATTTCCACTTACCTGAAATATCCAATGAGCATATGAGTAGTATATATGCACCCTTTTATTACTGCACCTTGGGTCAATGATAATATCAACGTAAGGTGATGGCAGGCTTGCGTAATTGGTGGGAATTGGAGTCACAGTTTGTAAAGAAAATGATTCGGCTACACTAGGGCTAGATAAGCAGAGACATTAAAGGCATGCTACTTAAATGAATACCAGTAGTATGTATTTTAGAAACTCACTTGAAACGATGCAGATAGACCTGGTTGTCCCAGGGTAGAGAGAAGATGATAAGGCCATAGAGATCAACGTCCGATGAACAAGTATGGGGTTCGATTTGAATTCGAGGAGCTGGTAAAGATGGCCCAAAGTAGTAATCATTCACTGAGAGGGATAATCGAAAAAATGATTCCATATTTGGAGTACGAGGGAGATCGATAACACCCCTTGATTTGCTTTTTTCCGATTTTATAAATCGATTATCCAGATTATCAATCAGATCGAACATGATGGAGCCCTATGAGTAAAGCATAGAAACAATTAACATAACAAAAGCATTTTTTGTCTAATCAGCAAGTTGTTTGTTCGTATTCATTGCCAGTTTAAGTTCAAAAGCCACTAATTTTGTCTTACAATGTGTGTTTGGGAAAAAGTTGGCTGCCACATCAGAGAAACAAAATAGAAGGACCCAGTAACTAGTGAATTCAAACGACAAAGAAATTTCACTAATAAAAGATTTTTCCTTAAAATAAACTCCATTAGTATTTTTTCGCCTTTTCTGCAAGAAATTGACCTCTACGACATTTGCGCTAGCTTGCAGTAGAGGTGGAAGGCTGCATTGAGTGCAGACTACATGATCCAGGCTGAAACATCCAAATGGCTCTGTTGACAAAGTCTGAATTCGATCCAAGACAATCTGTTGCTACCCTATTCTAGACACAGAAATTTCCCAATCACCATTTCACTTCTACAATAAATGCAGAATTTATTTTTTTAGTGCTCATGTTGTATCGAGCAATAACAATTATTTTCTCACACCTTTGATACATAAGTTAGGTTGCCAGTGGGAGTATGAATGGAGATGGATTTAAACCTTTAGGGGAAGCCGAGGAAAGTGTGGCTTATTTTTCAAAACTTCTGGAGAAAACAATACTATATTATTAAATAAAATTTATCCCGAATACACTGTCTTATTGTATTCCGTGATCGGTAGTCAGCGTCATCACACCTTGCAGCATGAGAATTAAAATTATCAACTGAATGAAAGAGTGCTTTAATGGTTGGCAAAAAGTTCTTTTAAATGGCTCGAAATTGTAAAAATCAATTAGTACAGAAGACGAAAAAGAGAATATTACTTGACGTGCTGTCGAGATATCAAAGAAATTCTTGAACTGAAAATCGGAAAAAAGAATACATCAGATCAATAAGCGTTTAATGATGAGCACAAATGACAATAAGCACATGCAATTCAGTACAGCACAATGAAATTAGACGGTAAATGAAATGATGCGAATTAACAGAAGCAAAATAGATCAACAAATTAGTGCATTAACAGCAGGAAAATAGATTAACGAACCAAGTAAGATTCAAGTGATTTCTGAAAGCGAGAAAAGAATCAAATATGTAAAGTATGATAATGCCTTGAAAAAAACGAAGGCCAAAGAGCACCATCGATGATAATAAATATGACGCACGAGTGATGACCAATCAAAAGTGATCACAGTGAGTTTGGGCAATTTTAGCTGTATCCAATCAGATTGAACTTTGTGTTGGTGAATGATTTATATTCTTACGTATCAAAGTCGGTCTTTATTTAGTACTGGTTAGGTATTTCAAGGGTCAAGGTAGAGTTTACCTGACCTTAGATTTAAAATAGCAGTACATAACCGAAACAAGAATGACAATGAGAAAAAATTGTCCGCATGACTATGCGATGGAGCTGGTTGGGTTGTGTGTAACATGAATAGATGATAGTGAGATCGATTCACCATCACAATTCATCCGTATAGGCGAGACAAAGGTTTGCGTTCTTAAGAACCAAAAAATCGGAGATCAATAGTTTTACTATTGACTGATCCGTGTTTTCAAAAAGGAATTTCTATTATCTATTCAACCATGAGACAAATTGATCATGTGCGTATCTTATAACGGGAACTGACTTACCTGTTGTGGGAAAATCATTTGATTTCGATTAAGTAAGAGTAATGCAATTAATATGAGCTTAGTTAGAGATTAAGTAATGACATAGTTAAATGTTTATGATGATGAATTCAGTCTCATCCTCTTTTACCTGACTGAAAAAACCGATTCAAATGAAAAAAACTAACTATGACCAGCCACCAGTCCGATATCGTCGAAACGAACACATCATCATGGAGCCTTTTGTCAAGAAGGACGGCAGACAATACCCATTTGGAAGGAGAGTTGGCAACTCAATACATTCAGTTTTTTTAAGCGAAATATGAAAAACCAACTCATAAACCTGTTAACGGTACTCTTGAACACTCAAGGTCACTGTCAGTCGATGGGTCGGAATAAGGGTAACCCGCTAATAATGAAAAAAACGCCCATTCGTATTCCTCTAATATTTCCACAAAGTATAGGCAGCCTCCTCCTTAAATTGAGACGGAAATTTTGTCATTGTTGGCAATTTCATCCAAGAAAACCCAGTCTAATCAAATGTTTTCTTGATGTGGCGAGTAATTAACCTTCAGCCAACTGTTAGTTCGCTCTAATACCCGAGGGTTCATACTGTGCTTAAATGTGAAAACAAGACTACAGCAAGGGTTTTGGTGCTTAGCCTAGTGGGAATTATTCAATTATTTTCAATTAAAAGCTCGCATTTTTTCTGTCACCTTCAAAACCGAAAAAAACGAAGAAGTTAAGAATAAGACAATGAACTAAGCAGACACAAATTCGTTTAGAATCCTCCAGAAAGTAAACTAATGTCATCAGAGAACGGACTTCAAAACACGCAATTCAACTGCTCCTTTCCCACTAAAAGGCGTAAATTCGTTTCTTCTATAAAAAGAGGAAAGAAACGCGATTTTCCGACTTCCCACGCTGCCGATGCTACACAAATAAGCCCCGAGCAAAGCTAAGCCATCTCTGTGACAAAATCACCGTGTAGGAAATTAGGTAGACTACCCAACTCCCCCCCCCCCTCCCCCAACAATATCAAGAACACAGAGCGTGTGGAGTGAACGCGTTTACTCTGATTATGCATCACTGTCGAGATGATGAGTCATTAAAGCCCAATTAAGAGCATGTTAACGACGCAACGACTATTGAATACTAGTCAGCTGAGGTGTCTCTACTTCCTCCCCCAATGTGACAAGTGGCATCGCCGCATCTTCAAGATTGTCTAGCGGGGGAGGGGGGAGGGCGTAAGATTTCTTTGTTCAGCCATGGAAGCATTGTGTTCTC